TTAATAGTTTCCTAAACATCATAAGGGTGGGATCTTCACAAATTTCTTGGGAGGGGGAGTGATAATTCCAGAGGGCAATGCTGCATTGGAGAAGGCAGGCTTCCTGGATCCCACAAGATGAAACTATTTAATCAACAGGACCTGAAACATTACCCCTCTTTGATTGAGCCTGGAAGACCAGAAGTAATTAGAGATCAGTGGTCCCTTAGACAATAGTCTCTTTGCTGTGTAGGGCTTTAAAGATGATAGTTAGCACCTTAAATTACACCCATAATCCAGTTCATAATCAGTGCAGCTTGCAAAGCAGTGTGGTTATGTGACCATAACATAATACTCCCAACATTGTTTGTGCTGCCACATGTAGCTTTTCAGTGTGTTCAGGGGCAGCCCCAAGTATAATACATTACAGTAATCCAATTGTGAGGTGACTAGGGCATGAGCAAATGAAAAGCAGAATAACAAGAGTTAGAAGGGACCTTGGAGGTTTTCTTGTCCAATCCCTGCTCAAGCAGGAGACCTGATATTATTTCAAGCCTCCCAGTCCAAGAAAGGTACAATTGACCCAAGTGATCATGCTGGGCAAAAGCCCTCTTGGCCACAGCTGCTACTTGCTACCTTTTTTTTGAACTGGAGTTGAGAGTCCAAGACGACCCACAGCTCGCACATAAATCTCAAATGGGGAAGTGCAACCTTACTGAGAGATAGTGATGGAATATACACAGGGAGCCACGTGGTCTTGTCAGGATTGAGCCTGGTCTGCTTCTTCCCATCTATAACCATATAACCTCAAGGCACTGGGCTACAACTTCAACAGCATCACTTGACCAGCCAGGATTGAGATATATAAGAGAGAATTACCAGCATGCTGATAATATTTGACCCCAAATTGAAGGATGACCTGACCCAGTGGTTTCATGTAGAAGTTAAATGTAAGATAAATGTTTACTAATCCTACTTTGTACTTTGGGTCAATTGTTTCTCAATATCCAACAATCAGAAATGTTGGATATTTTATAGTACAGGTAGTCCTCGACTTACAATAATTTGTTTAGTGACTGTTTGAAGTTACAATGGCACTGAAAAAGGTGACTTATGACTGTTTTTCCACACTTACAACCTTTGCAGCCTGTCCATGATCATGTGATCAGAATTCAAATGCTTGGAAACTGGGTCATACTTATGACCGTTGCTGTGTCCCAAGGTCATGTGATCACTTTTTGTGACCTTCTAACAAGCAGAGTCAATGGGAAAGTCAGATTCACTTAACTACTGGGTTATTAATTTATCAATTAATAGGAATTCACTTAACAACTGTGGCAATAAATGTCACAAAATGGGGCAAAACTCACTTGACAAAAGTCTTACTTAACAACACAAATTTTGGGCTCAATTGTGGTTGTAAGTCGAGGACTGTCTACTCTTCCAATATAATGGTTGTTTCTGCATTATTCTTCTTCCTCTGTAATATGATATGAGAATTGTTGGGTATTTGCATGTCAATATTTCATAAACTGTATACATATTTAATTAAGTTTTTTTTTCTTTGTTGCAATTCAGAAGTGATTGTTCAGTGCCACCTTCTGGAGTTTTTTTCTTCTCCATCTAGCCAATAGTGATAGTATTTCCAGATAGACTTTCATTCGGATGCTAACCAAATTTGACTGTGTTTAATTTATTAAGATCAGCCAATGTCAACTAGATGCAACCACGCAGCAGGGAAAAACATAGGAGTGAATTAAATAATTCAAAGATTAAGCATTTTTCCTTGCTCGTGTTTTAATGTTATCAACTGCAATGAATAGCCTTTTGGATTCTGTAAAGCAGAAGCAGATTATTCTTTATTGGAAAGGTATCAGAAATGACAGTATTGAGTAACTGGTAGCTGACTAAACCTGTTAGATCACTCTGCTAATGATCACTGAATAGAAATAAAACACACACACAGAGAGAGAAAGAGAGTCTAACCCAGGGGTGAAATGCTCCCGGTTTGGACTGGCTTGGGCGAGTAGGTAGCGATGGCAGCGGGCAGTTCAGAGAACCGGTAGCAAAAATCCCTGCCCCCACTCCCCACACCCAGCTGAGCCGCGCGATCATCAGAGCCTTTTTTTTCTTTTAAATGGCTCTGACCAGCCAAGCTCTGACGATCCCAGCAGGCAACTCAGCTTGGATCGCCAGAGCCATGTAAAAGAAAAAAACTTTTTTCCTTTTAAATGGCTCTGCCTGCTAATCGGTAGCAAAAATCCCTCCCCTTCCCCCCCTCAGCTTGCTTACTTTAGCTGCTGGTCGCAACGCCTTTCTGTAATCCCTGCAATCGATTGCATCAGCAAGCAACTGAATCTCCCTGCCTGCAATCAAGCAGGCAGGGAGTTGTGGACTTCAACTCCCAGAATTCCTCAGCCAGCAAAGCAAAGCTGGCTGAGGAATTCTGGGAGTTGAAGTCTACAAGTCTTAAAATTGCCAAGGTTGGAGACCCCTGTTCAATTGGGTAAGTTTTTTTCCCTTTGGGAGCTTTAAAAAAATAGTTAATTGGTGTTTTTTTTAGTTGTTCTTTTTTTAGACCTAGCCATTTAAAGTTTAGGAAGTTTTAAATTTAGCTGCTTTTATATAAAAATAAAAATAAAATAAAATAAAATAATATTTGTGCAGCTTTCTGAGATTTAGTGTGTTTCTGTAGTGTTTCACTCAAACTACACAATCACACAAAATCTCACAAAGCTGTATGTGGAATTTTGTGTGTGTAAAGTGTGAAAGTTGGTTTTTTGGGCTTTTTGTGGCTGTGTGAGGTTCCTGCTTGTTGCAGGGTCCATTTTGGGTCTAGCACAGCTGCTTTTACATTGTGGGTGAGCTAGTTGTGTTGTGTTGTGTTGTGTGTGTAAAGTGTGAAAGTTGTTTTTTTGGGCTTTTTGTGGCTGTGTGAGGTTCCTGCTTGTTGCAGGGGACATTTTGGGTCTAGCACAGCTGCTTTTACATTGTGGGTGAGCCAGTTGTGTTGTGTTGTGTTTTGTAGGGTAAAAAAGGGCAAAGAAGTGACATTGACTTGGCCACGCCCACCTGACCAACAAGCCACGCCCTCCCAGTCACCTTACCACCAAGCCCCGTCCACTAATTAAGCCATGCCCACAGAACAAAAATTTTTAGATTTCACCCCTGGTCTAGCCTTATTTGAGGCTAAATTTATTAGATCTAATTTCTTGAATTCTGTTTTTTGTTATTATTTTTGTTATTGTTTATTCTACTAATTTATGGTATTAGTTTTTAGGAAAGTCATTTCATCTCGCACTCCATTCTATCATTGGTACTACTTGTAAGTCAACTAACTGTTGACTTACAACAGTTCACTTGGTGACTGTTCAAAGTTACAACAGCACTGAAAAAAGTGACTTATGACCATTTTTCACAGTTACAACCTTTGCAGCATCCCCATGATCATATAATCAAAATTCAGATGAACTGAACACAATATTTTAAGAGTGCCTGACCTGTGGGGTTGGAGAGGGGAGGTGGACTTTGAAGTATTCAGTTTGACCAGAATTATCTTTAGGGACAGTCTTTGAAAGAGATCTAAATAGAGAATTGGATTCTGTTTTAACTTGGAATAAAAGTTTTAAAGTATAATTCTCAGACCCAAAGGTGCTTTTTAAGAGGCAGCTGAACTTTCTGAGGGATTTTTTTTTTTTTTTGGTCAATTACCTCTTGAAAAAGCACCTTTGGGACAGCCATGACTTGGATGACTGAGAATCTCCATAGATATAATTCTCAGACTCTCTCTAAATGTTACCATTGGACTTTAATTTTTAATGTTGCAAAAGGGGAATATTATTAAATATACAAGCTAATTTAATTAAACTATATTTAATGCTATTTAATGTTTATTAAATTTAAATTGGTGAGGTCCCTTGATGTGCATAGAACTGTGGGGGATATTTTAATTTCAAGGCTAGAAAAGTTCTATTGCTTACAAGTACAGTTATTTTAGGATGGAATTTCCTTGGATCCAAAAGAACAAGCAATCTGTCACAGGAATCTTATGAGGTTATCTTGCCTGCAGTTATGGCATGTAAAAAAGAGTTTGTATGTAAGATAATCCCTTAGTCAAGCAATTTTGCCTCACCAAAATTTTGGTACTACCAATTAAAATGGATATTTGAAAATACCTCACTCATTCTTCCGCATATAAAAAAGCAAAATCACCTTGAAATTTTTATGCTGTATGTATGTACTCACTCTAAATATTTTTCTACTGAAAACACAATCAAGGTGCCAAGAGCATGCTTGCAGTGCCAATAAGACTGAACTTGCGGTTAGTATCAGGAATGACTGAGTGATGGCCATATTGAAAGCATTTCTCTTTTTCTTTTCTATCATCATCATCATCATCATCATCATCATCATCATCATCATCATTATTATTATTATTATTATTATTATTATTATTATTATTATTAGCTTTAATTTATATGCCACCCTTCTCCGGAGACTCAGGGCGGCTTACAATGCGTTAAGCAATAGCCTTCATACTTTTGTATATTTATACAAAGTCATCTTATTGCCCCCACAATCTGGGTCCTCATTTTACCTATCTCTGAAAGGATGGAAGGCTGAGTCAACCTTGAGCCTGGTGGGATTTGAACTTGCAGTAATTGCAACAGCAGATATTAAAAGAGCCTTGGTAGTACAGGGGTTAAAAGAGCCTTGGTAGTACAGGGGTTTAAGACACCCTGTTATTAAGTTGGTTATTAAGACCAGCTGCCTGCAATTACTTCAGGGTTCGAATCTCGCCAAGGCTCAAGGTTGACTCAGCCTTCCATCCTTTCTAAGGTAGGTAAATTGAGGACCCAGTTGTGGGGGCAATAAGCTGACTTTGTATAAATATACAAAAGGATGAAGGCTATTGCTGAGCACATTGTAAGCCGCCCTGAGTCTTCGGAGAAGGGTGGCATATAAATCAAATTTAAAAAAAAAAATAACAGTGCATTAGTCCACTGTGCTACCAAGGCTCAATTATTGTTGCAGTGCTTCATTTTCTCTTTTCTTTCTGAATTCTCATTTTATTAAGATAATTTTTAAAATTCCAGAATTGAAGATAGTTCAGTTTGCCTCAGTTTTGGCCTTCCCCTTTCATTTCTTAACTTCTGTATCAGCGGTATTAACATATTTGTTTTTTTTGAAAAAAAAATTCCCCATTGATAGAATAAAAGAAATTTGTACAGTCAAATAAAAGTGGTATAAATGCTGGATGGTTTCTTTCCCTTTTTAATTAAGGGGAAAAAAGGCTCAAATGCCTCAGCAAACGGAACTCCTGAAAACTTTTGACATTTGACTCTTAACATTGAATAGAAATATTGACAGGCTTTCAATTGCCCCCACTAATAGGCAAGAATGGCTCTTAGCTTCTCTCTTCTTCTGGGTAAGGCTGATGGGATGAAATGCTGCCATGAGCTATTGTACTGTAGAGTTGATGGATGTTTCCAATCTGAATCCCCTGACAGAACAGTAAAATCTTGGCTTTGCATGCTGTGTACTGTTACCTGGTCAAAAAGAGAAACCTGACAAGTAACTAATGAATAGAGAGACCCGGCTGGCTGTGTTACCTCATTAGAGACAGATAAAATCGGTGATCTTTTCCTTGTTCTTATCTCTCACCTTAAAAGTGGATAAATGAGGGAGATTCTTGTGTTCACATTTGGAATTTATCAGTAGTGAAAGAAGCAAGCCGACAATATGGTATAATGGTTAATGGAGAACTATTTGAAGGCCACGCTCTGGAGGACTTTGGCATTGCCTCTCTTGTTGTCTGGCCTAAATGTGCTTTAATTTTTGTATAACAGATGATTAGTATCTTATTCCAGACTAATATTTGGACATTGAGATATTTAGACATGTTGGCCACAAAACCCCACCTGCTGCTGACATCCAGAGTTTCTTGATTTTGTCTTCTTTGTTGCTTTCTGCTCATTTCCCCCCCTCCAAGCAATTAATCAAATATAGGGGGGGGGGAGTAAAGAATGGTTGCCTTCCAAATCTTCCCATTTTGGACAGTGGATATGGATTGAGTCTACATGGAGGAGGTGAGTGAATGGACATGAGATATAATGAGAGCAAAAAAAGCCCATGGCTAGCAGGGGCTATCTTTATGAAGAGCCCTCAGAACTCGGGGGCTAACATTGATTGTGTCAATCAGTGATATTCTGGGTATAAACAATGGTCATTGTGTGCAATGTAGAAGTAAAGTTGCACTTTCCATTGAATATTTCTTAAAAATCCTAATCTGAATTTATCTGTGTATCTCAGTTGCACTCATGAATATAGCAGCAGCAAATAATTGAAATACATTTCTCAACTCAGGTATGAAGTAAGTATAAAATAATGTTTTATACTTACTTTTATACTTACTACATTTAAAACCAATATCCATGCATTTGTTGATCTAGAATAATGTCCTTCTAAAATTTTGACTTCTCACAGTCTGGGAAGTGGCAAATCTGTGACAGGAAGAGAGCTGCTTAAGTATTATCTAATATCAGCAAAAAGTTGGGGTGGCAGAGAGAAATGGAGAAATAAATTTATTCTTCCCGACATTGTACAGAAAGAATGAAACTATTAATGAGGCTAAAACTGCTTTCAAATCTTCCAAACCACTGAAGTTTGACTGCCTTTAGCTCTTTGTGATTTGTTTATGTGTTTCTTCTGCTTGTGAGGCTTTTTAAATTTAAGGCACAGAAACCAATGAGCTTCAAATCAAATTATAACAGACTGCATAGCTTTACATTTCAAAGAGCTTAAGGGAGAATGAGTGTGGCTCTGAGTATGACTCTTTATGTTGCTTTGCAGAAACTGAGGTGACTTTTTTTTCAAGATTGTATGATTACTGCTGGATTCTAAATCCCTGGCTACTTTTCTGCCAGTTATTTTATTTTACTTTAATTAATTAATTACTGAAATTCAAAAGGACTCTTAGCATCTTATATTCCCCCCTTGTAGGAAGAAAGTTAAAAATAGAAACAGTATAATTACCTTATAAATGAAATTACAAAGAAAACCTTGATATTTGAGAAATCCTTAGACATTGAACAAATTCATAATCAGGTTCACCAGTAGTTCCTACCCAGGGCTCTGGTAAAAACCCAAGTGTCAATGGCTTCCTTGAAGCTTAACAGAGCTTATCTCTACCGATTAAAGAATCTCTTAATGATGAGCATTTATTAAAAAATGTCAGTTAAAATAGTTTAATACTGGATCAAGGGTAGGGCATAGTGAAACTAATGCTGACTGGATTTGTGCAATGTTTCTGAATAAATGGGGAAGTACAGCTTCAGAATGCCCAGAAGTTTGAATGCCCAGGGGTCTATGATTCATTAAAGGAGCCATGTCTCTTTCTACAACTGAAAATATCTGATGTCTGTTTCTATGCCCAGAAATAATGTTTAAATCTATAACTTTTGTAGTAAATTCTAATAGGTTCTACTGTCTCTTATGTCACACTAAATTATGATTAAATAAATCTAATTGTAAACATAACTAATATAATTATCTAGATAATTGTTACCATGCTGATTTAATTTTGCTTTTATATATCCCTTTAATGTTTATTAGTATCATTATTCAACAGCAAGTCTTCACTTTATCTTTGTCTTTTGAACATAAACAGTGTTTGAGTTCTTTAACACAGCACATTTCTTTCTTGTTACAAATGATAGACTTGAAATGTTCAGTGTGACTGGTTGTGAATTCCTAAATATTGAATTGTAAGATTAAAGGCCACTCTTTGAATCTGAAGTGTGGAATGAACGCCATTCATGGTTCCTGTCCTCCCTAGTTTTTCTTTCTTTTCTTCTTTTCTTTTCTTTTCTTTTCTTTTCTTTTCTTTTCTTTTCTTTTCTTTTCTTTTCTTTTCTTTTCTTTTCTTTTATTATTTTCTTTTATTTTCTTTTATTTTTTATTGTGAATGATGAAGGTGTTTGTGTCTTTTGGTATTCTAGTCTTTATTGCAGCTATTCATATATAAGTGGCAGATGCTAATTTACTCCTTTTAAATAACAAAATTAAATGACTTTGGGAACCTCTTTCTGATCAATTGATTGTAGCACTTTAAATGTTAGTTGGAATGGATATAAAAAAATTACAGAAGAGATTGGTTAAAGAGCAGATTATAATCTGTTGAAAGAGAAGTGAGAATGTTGATTTCTGGGCAGGATTCAAAAACTAAGCTAACAGTGGTATTTAATACTAGGTCTTTTGACTTTTAATGATTGAATGCCTTGAAACAACATAGAATCTCAATATTGATTAAGGGAGAAGGCAACCATTTTAATTTTTACTTTGTAGCTTGCAGTTTGATTTTTTCAATTGATCTCTATTGATGAAAAACAATGATCCTGAGCTAGTTAATAGAAAGCATAGCTGCTGCAAAGGTCACAAGAATCAGTTTCTAACCTTTTCTTTCCTGGCTGCCTGCGTTTAGCTTTTGGGAGGAGGGGGGGAAGAAACACTTACAAGAAGCTTGTTTTCTGTCTCAGCATCTCTCCTATCTGACAGCACAGCCTGGTAATTGGCTTGCCTTCCATCCTGGCACCACAGTGGAAAAGCTCTCAGCTAGTTCACTCTCTTTGGGTTAAAGTAATGAGACCGCCTGGGATAATTCACACAAGTCCCCAGCTGCGCTGATTGCTATTTGGGAGGTGGCTGATTGCAAAAAGGGAGAAGGACCACATAGGCTGCTGGCTTTCCCCTGTGCTCACTAGGCCGCCTTCCCCTCTTTGGGACTACTTTCCAACCACTCTTTAAGTCCTATGCTTCAAAATCTTTGTGTGAATAGTAATGTCTTATCTTATCTTTCAGACTATCACTCAGAGAGTGTTAAGCTCAGTTCTAAATAACAAATACAACAGCTGGGAAACATGCCTAGTCCTTAAAATTCCCTTCAGGGAATGAACAATTGTACTTAGCTTCTCTGAATTATCTTTTAGGAAGATGTTCTGTAATTTTTCATTCCACTTTTATTCTGGGTGGCAGTATTAAGTGCAGATTCTTTTCTTTCTGAGTACCATTCACATTCCTGTGTACCATATTTTATAATAAGCAGTGGCCTTTTGAATTTTGCTTGATAAAAAAAAAGTGAGTTTGTTCCACTGAATTAACCTACTGGTTATAGCTGCTTCGGGATTCTTTAAAGACAGATGCATCTCTGAAATTTGAAATGATCAATTCTCCTTTTAACCCTAATACTTCTTTATTTAATTGATTAGAATAATTAGACATGCAGGCCATCAAATCTTCATGAGGCTTGAGTTGCATATAGAGAAGGTTACATACCCAATATAATATAAAAAGAACAAAAATAATGGACAACCACCCAAGAAATGTAAAACATATCTAAAAAAACATAACATACCAAAGAGTTCACAAATCATCCCAGCCTGGGCCTGCTGGAAGAACCAATTCTTCATGGCTTCTTTTCAAATCAGTTGATTAAAATAAGTACTCAGAATTCTTGAAACTTTATATATAGTGAAAAATTTGTTCCACTGTTTATCAAGATACCATTTATGATGAAAATATTGATATCCTCACTTTAGAAAATTTAGTTGGATTTCTTTAACTCTAGGATAAAATTCTTAAACTTAACATTCTCTTTCTGAATCTCATCTTGAATATGATTTTAAAAGCCTTTTCCTCATGTTTGTTTGGCTTTTCAAAATTATTCCAGCTTCTTTCTGTATATGTTATACATATACATACATACATACATACATACATACATACATACATACATACATACACACACACACATATATATATGTACTTTATATTATATATATGACATATGTAGTAATGAATGTTTCTTGTTCTAATCAATAACAATATTCCTAAAATTTAAAGAAGCCATCTTCCATCTCAATAACTTTCTTTTTTCTTATCCTGTTACAGTTTGCTGATCATATTTCTTAATGTGGTATACAAAAAGAACACAATATGTAGAAAGTGATAGACTCTAGAGGCATCATTAACTGTGTTCTGTTTGTCTAAGAGCAGCCATGTAACCTCTGTTGTCTCTGCAACTGTGTGCGCCCTCTCATAAATACACATAATTTACAGGATCCACTGTTGTATTCTATGTTTGGAACCATTAGCAGTATTTTTCCCTTAGAAATCTTTTGGGAAATAGAGTTCATTGCTTCCTTATATAGATTTCTAAGGAGGTCTCAGTCAAGAGTTCTGGTAGATAAATTCAAACTAGTCACTTGATAGATAGCAAAATAATAGTTTTTCCTCCTTTCAAAGAAACCATATACAGATATTTTTCTTTACAGTTATGTAGTTTATATACCCCTATGTTGCACACACTACTTCTCTCTCTTTGTTGCATATATATTATCCACCTTACTACTCTTTCTGCCTCTTACTGTATGTGTTACTTTGCCTCTCTCACACCCATACTACTGTTGGAAGAAATATCTTCTGGGTTCAGCTCCAAGTGGGGAAAAAGACACTGGAAACATGGAGACTGCTTGGAAAGATGGTTTAATGATGGACAGGATCACATGGCTTGAGTTCCTGAACAGAAAAGGGGCGAGATACAGCAAGTCCCCGGGTTTTATGCTCTCTCTGGCTTTGAACTTCCTGGGGCCCAGAAAGAGTATCCTGATTGGTTGTCAGACTCCCAGGGGGTGGGGGTCTTAGCTAGCCTTGCTGGCTGATGTAATCTTCCCAGGTGCCATGTGGTGAGTTTCTGTTGCTAGATGGGTCCCATTGTGTTAGTTTCTGTTAGATGGGTCCTATTGTGTTGCAGATGATGGTCCTTTGACAAAGGATTGGGTTTCTGCCTCTGGCCCATTAACAAAGGGTGGGGGGCAGGAAGGTGGGAGCTGCTTTGTCTTTAAAACATGCTTCTCCATTTCTCATCCAGGGAAACATAATATTTTGTCTTTTTAATATTTCCCAAAATATTTCATTCTTCTAGGAAAGGGGTGGGTGATACTTTCCTACACTACCATTTCTTTTTATATTTTCCTCAGTTTAGATCTTGGCTCTTTTTCATATGACAAAGCTTTGCAATTGTTGGAAAAGCAAGTCAGAGATTTGTCTGGTGGCCATTCTATCTTTCATATGAGGACCCAGATTGTTGGGGGCAATATGCTATTTAGTATATGTCGATTGTTGTAAGCCGCCCAGAGTCCTCGGAAAGTGGGCGGCATAAAAATATGATTAATAAAATAATAAGTAAATAAAATAAATATATCTTTATCATTCTCCCAACACTTCAAAGCAATCAACAAAAGCTCTCTTTAAAAACTCTCTACCCTTGTGACTAATTACACAAAGTAATTATAACTTCTTTTTAAAATTCATCTGATCTCTTTTGATAAACATCTATACTTGTCTTCAAGTTATTGCCCAACAATGAATTAAAGCTATCTCTTTACAAATAGTTCTAGAGCCTACAACATTTTGCCTGGCATCATTGTCAACTTATTGTCTTTCTCCTTCTTTGTTTTGACAAAAACGTTTTGGTAGTTTTAAAAAACAGCCAATACATCATTATTACTGAAAATAGAAGGCATGAGAAAGAGGAAGAAAATACTGCAGTTATGCTAATTCCAGTGGGGGATTCCATTTTATGCAAGAAAATTTTCTGTCACCATTTAGTACTTTTAAAAACAAAAGTGCAACAATTATGGCCTTGGGGGTTTGCCCATGACCTACCGGTATTCCTAATGCAGTCCAGAGTGGGCGGTGCCAAACATGTCAGCCATAACATGCCTGCTTCACCCTTTAAAACCCCTAATCCTTTCACAAAATTTATCTGGTCATCTGGTCATTTTAAGAGTGTGGCTCGTGACATGCTTGTTAAAACAGGTGTGACCTTTTAGCCCTGTACAAGTCATAAACTATTATTTATGTTTTAAATTTAAAGATAAGAGATCAGTGATGTGAATTAAATATGATGGTAAATATTGTTGGTTACGTCTCTCTATTTTTTTTTTCTTTTCTTTTCTTTTCCACGCAAACTACCTTGAAAGTGAAACATGGGAGTGCACATAAATAGCACAAAGGAATAATGTTTAGGTGCATAATTTGTATAGTTAAGTAGTAGAATGGAATTAAATATGAATTTATTATACTTATAGGCAATAGGAAACTTCAATAGATTATT